ATTTACTAAAGGGTTGAATAAAAATAAAAAAAAAGACCAGACTTTTGAAAAAGTTATTTAATAGAAAAAAAACCATTTAAAAAAATGGTTCCAACGAAGTAATCCACTTCAATCACGGCGCCCGGCGTTGTCCGGCGACCGATATATAAAAAAAGCCAGATGACCGCTGACCCATTCGCTTGCCGAACACACTCCGCAAAATGACCTGTATGACAGGTGCCAGCAAAGTAAACAAATGGGTGGAGCTAGCGGTGACATCATGACTGGCTCCGCCTATTTGTTTTGATTTGGTAGCCACCTGTCATATGGGTCGGCCAAATCAAAACAACTGGGTGCAGTCAGCCGTGATGTCACGGCTGGCTCGGCTCAGTTGTTATCATTCAGTGACAGCCCAGCATCCTCTGGTCATTTGAGAACACTGGGCTGTCACTGTATGACAACAACTGGGTGGAGCCAGTCATGACATCCCAGCTGGCTTCACCCAGTTTTTTACATTTGCGGGGAGAATAGTCTGCTTCGGCAGACTGTTCCCCCTGCTTCAGCTGTGTCTTCGGCTCAGCCACGCTGAAGCATATGCGTTCGGCTCGGCTGAACCGTTCGCCTGCCTTCAGCTGCTGTACGGGTGAATAATCCACACAGCAACCCTTCGGTTTGGCTGAATAGAAGGGCTCCCGCGGCCGAATTGAGCCGAACGATTAGCCGATGCTTCGACTTAATCCTTCGGCTCCTTCGTGAATAACCCTCTTGGGGTGGAGCATGGATTTACAATCACACAGACAAATATATTTATCACAGCACAAGAGTCACCTGTCACACAATACTTCTGGCTCCTGGAGAACTTGGCAGGAGGGGAGTGACTGTTATGATGAAAAGCTTACCCAACATTGCTAACTCTCTGTACCCATCCTCTAAATCTGTCCATCCTGGTCCGATATATTTATGGTATAGTGATCACCTCAGGAGGAGCCAGAGACAAAATTTGGGTTCTCCTACCTGTTCTGCAGTCACCTGCCCTGTTTCTAGATCCAGCAACACTGACAACTTCTGGTAATGATCAGGCTCAAGTCTCAAGAGTATTTTTATGATTTATTGCTGAATTCAAAACTCAGGAGGGAAGGTTTGGGGATGCACGATATCCAAAAGCCCTAAATTAAGCAGGAGAGGACATTCTAAAATATCATCTTCAGCAGCAGGTCCTTAAGAGTCATCTTCAAAAATAGATGATGATACACAGAGGACAGCCAGGTAAATCTGTGACCCTGTAAGAGCAGTCTCTTGTGCAACTGGCTTCTTTTTCCTCTGTAAGATACCTGAATCTATGGGCGATGAAACCTTCTTACAAAATCCAGAGGTTTGCTTCTAACCAGCACCCCTGTGACACTCTTTCCTAAGAAGATCCCCTCTCCAGCCAAGCTTCCTTCAGGTATCTACTCCATTAGTAGCTTAGCATCCAGAGCCTCTAGCTCATGGCTCATGCTGAGGCTTGGCCACAGCATGAGCTGGGCCTCCTCCCAGGAAGTAGCCCTACGGAAGAAAGCCTTCTGGAAAGGTGCTCCCAAAACATGTATCATCTCACCAGCCAACACCTCTGAGCAAGCCTCTCAGGATTTGGTTCAGTCGGATATACTTTATATGAATTCTTTAAAGCTCCCACCACACACATAAACAATGCCTTCCTTTTAGTTTTATTGTGGGTGCTGTTCATCATTTTGCCTGAGGAAGGTACTCTGCGTGGTCCCAAAGTGTCAGTTTTTTGTTGTGATGTGGTGAACAACTAACTTTAAGAAAGGCGTTTTGGATGAAGAAATTACGGTGTGCTGGTAACACATTCTGTATAGGGGTTAATCTTCCTACACTGCTTGCTAAAGCCTTCCCCCAGCGACAGGTAGAATCAGTCAATCCACCAGGCTTAGGGAAGACCTGCAGAACCCAGAAAAATAGGTTCTCAGGCTGGTTGCGGGTTGCCCTAAAGTAAACACACTAAATTAGTCAGAGACACAACTGCATAAGGCAGGGTCACTACCAGGCCCGGCGCTAGCGCAAGGCAAGTAAGGCGGGCGCCTTACGGTGCTGCAGGGTGATGGCGGAAAAAACAGGCCATTTTGACAAGTACTCGTACTTGTTAAAATACCCCGATGTTTGCGCTATGTTTTTTTTACTTACCTTCGGTGCGGAGAGCAGCAGCGAGTCAGCGCTGGTCCAGTGGGAGGAGCTCCAGGTGGGGTCCTAATTTAGCTGGCCGGCGACTGCCTGAGGATCCCGACACGCGCGGCACCTCAGGCAGTTACCGGCCAGCTAAATTAGGACCCCACCTGGAGCTCCTCCCACCGGACCCGCGCTGACTTGCCGCTGCTCTCCGCACCGAAGGTAAGTGGAAAAAA